CCAACCGGAAGGCGGTTAGTTGTCCGTGATAACTTCTATACCCGCCATGTTCTTGCTCGCGCCATTCAAATTATGATTGATGGGGAAATACGGATGTTAGGCACTGTTCGCCTCAATCTTGTCGATGCCTGGAATAAACCGAGTCTTCGAGAAGCAATCAAACGTGTCCAAGATGCTTATCGTGGTGTTTGGGAGCTGGTTGCAGCTATCGAACCGGTGCCAAATTGGAGAGAGCTCCAGGAAGAACACGGAAAGTCACAAAAAAACTAGGAAGAATAAACGGGCTGCGTTCAAAATGCCGCTTCAGTTTGCTCCATGCGCCGGTTACGTTGTCTTCAAAGACATGAAAGTGGTCATATTCTACACGAATGACTCGGCTGATACGCCAACGTTACGATTTCAGGGTCCCGACAATGAAGAAGCTATTCGCGTTCTGCATGGGCTAGAACCTTTGAACCGATGGATTGGAAATGAAATGATGCACAGGAGTGTTCTAAAAGTACCCTCAGGTATCGTGGCATACAAAATATATATGAACAGTGTGGACCGTGTGGACCAAAAGTTGAGCACCAACAGATCGCAACGAAAGGAAAAGCGGCTGTCCATGACAATGTTTACGTGCGCACTAGACTTATGCGTCTTGAATGCCTACGGGCTGTTCTGCTGCCTTGAATGACGATGCGCGAGTTCAAGCGCAGGGTAGTGGAGGAGTTGACCTCTCGAGAGCGATCTCGACGTGAAAAGAAGAGGTCCGGTGAAATACCTGCTGCAGTATCGTCGCCCCGGGTCATTGTCAATGTTACATCGGATCACCACATCACAACCAACAAGAGAGGGCGCGATCTAGAATGTCGCCTATGTCGGGAACTTGGTTTGCAAGTAAAGGTGCGCTATGGGTGCACCGGTTGCAAGGAGGGGTTTCACGTTGATTTCTTTACGGCATATTACGCCAGGGATGCACTAAACAAGGACGACCCAGACATGCTCAAAGTCCAGGAAACACTCGCTGAAAAATCTATCGGGCAACCAGTTCACAAGACCCGGGTGCGATCGAACAACTCCATCACACCGCTGCCCGAACTCAAGCTCCACTGCCACAGGCGCTCGGGCAGTGCGTGAGCCAACTGAAGCTGTAGGCATCTGAAGAGTAGTCCTGAATTGAATAAAATGCCGGTGTCCATTGTTTGATGATAATCTTTTTTTCCACCTCACGGAATTCTCACCTCACATTACGTGAACGTACGGCCAGCCTCCTCAGCAGCAAATACAGTCTCTCTACAGAGCTGTCGCCCCGTCCGACGCTGCATGTGGTGTACGTCCATGCCGAAATACTCGCAGATGTAGCGCGTAGTCGAGAGCTTGCCGAGAGACTCCACCAACCGTGTGAGCACCACCGACTCCAGGTCACGAATGCTGCGCAGCGTCATCAGGTCCAGAAGCACGTCTGTACAAAGCACTTGATACTGCGCTTGTCCTAGCTCACCAGCAGGCGAATGACGGCCTCCATGCCTCCACGACTCGTAGTCACTGTAGCCCAACACCACCGGATGTGCCGCCCATGCTTGAAATACTTCCAAAAAATCAGCACGTAGCGGTTGATAGCGCTTGCTACTGTGGACGACGCGAAGATAATCTTGAGATGACGGATAGCAATCATGCGGATCGTGACAGAGCTGGCGGCGCGCACAAGACCCAACAAGGCAGACATCATGTTGTCTTGCCAAACCGTCGCAGTTGTGAGCACGTTCTCGTCGATGAGAGCTTCGTATACCCATCTAGCGTC